AAAATTTTTTTCAATTTAATTTTTAATCTTTCTAGTAAATTTTTGTTGGATCTTTTAGTTTTTAGTTTATTTAATCAATTTTTTTTTTTTTTGGTTCTTTCATTTTTATATTTTTTTGTAAATTTTTTTGCTTCTTATAGTTTTTAGTAAATTCCCTTTGGTTCTATTGGCTTTTAGTTTGTTTAATAAATTTTTGTTGTGCTTATAATTTTTATTACTTTTATTTTTTAGTTTTTTCAGTAAATTTATTTTTGTTCTTTCAGTTTTTAGTGTGTTTAATAAATTTTTTAAGATTTCCTTTTGCTTTTATTTTTTTTTAATAAATTTTGTTTTGGTTTTTGTAGTATATTCCTTTTGATTTTTAGTCATTTGTTTTTGGTTCAGTTAGCTTTTAATTTGTTTAATACATTTTTTTTGGTTCTTTAAGTTTCTTTAGTGAATTCTGTTTGGTTATTTTGCTTTTGTTTTTGCCAAAAATAACTAACAAAATGTGAAATAACCAAAAAATGCAAATAGAAAATTTTCATTAGGGCTTGTTTGTGAGATGCAAACGAGTTGGCTTTTTGGAGGAAGTAAATGTAATCTAAATGCGGTCATTCGTCTCCTTTGCTCTGTAATGAAAAGCAGCTTTATCCTCACCACGTACAAACACAGACAAACACACACTCGAAATAGGGTATTATGCAATTCGCTTCTTTCATTCTTTTTTTTTTGCACCCGTCTGTAATCTTCAAAGTAATATAACCGAGAGTGAGTGACTAGGTCAAACCACAAGACACGAATCGAAAAAAGAACGGTACTTGAAAGAGGAAGAAAGGATAGAAGGAAGTCGATTACATATCTACTTCCCAAGGCCAGAAGATAAACATTTACTTTTGTAATCCAGGGAAAGAAATTACTTTATAAATCTCGTATAGTCAAAAATCCCACTGCGAAATATTTTACCGAAAAATTTTTAAAAGTTCAATAAATTTAAGTAGAATTAAATAGAATTAAATATATAATTTTATAATTTACTCTACATTTTCACGATTCGAAATTTTCGGTTAAAGAAGTAGTAGTAGTAGTAGAAGTCATTTTTGGCCAGACTAAACTTTTTTCGAACTCTGATCAGATTTTCTATTAGTGGTAAAATTCATTTCAGTTTTTTAAAATTCAAAGGTATTTAATTAACTTATAGTAAAAATAAATTTTTAATTGTAACTAGAATTTTCTATTTCAAGTTCGTAGCTGTGAAAAGTTTATGCAGTTCGTGTTAGAATTGGTAACAGTGGTAAAAGTCATTTTCAGTCCGACAATACTTTTCAGATTTAGTATTTTAATTAAAACAAGTAGTAAAAAGCAATTTTAGTCAGACACTAATTTTCGGAATTTGTATTTTAATTTAAAACAAGTAGTAAAAATCACTTTTAGTCAGACAATTATTTCTGCAATTTATATTAATATTGGTAGTAGTAGTAAATGTAATTTTTTAGTCTGACAATACTTTTCGTAATTTTCATTTTAGTTAAAAGCCAGTAGTAAAAATAAGTTTTAGTCAGACGAAATTTTTCGGAATTTTTATGTTAATTAAAAACAAGTAGTAAGAAGCGGTTTTAGTCAGACAATTCTTTCTGAAATTTATATGAAAATTAGTAGTAGTAGTAAAAGTCAGACAATAAATTTTTTAAGTCAGACAATAATTTTCGATGCATTTTTTTTTTTTTTTGAAAACAAAAAGTAAAAACCGACAATATTTTTCTGGAATTAATATTTTATTAAACAAGTAGTAAAAATCTGTTTTAGTCAGACACTTCTTTTCGGAATTTGTATGTTAATTGAAAACAAGTAGTAAAATTCACGTTTAGCCAGACAATTTTTTATGAAATTCACGTTAAAATTGGTAGTAAAGTAGTAAATGTCATTTTTAGTCAGACGATACTTTCTCCAAATCTTTGTTAAATTTTTATTTAAAAATAAAAGTCAGCAATTATAAAAATACTAATAATAAAAACGTAGTAAAAGTTATTAATTTTTAGTCAAAAAATAGCAACAGTAGTAAAAGTAATTTTTGGTACGACAACTCAGTTTGGAAATTTTGTTTATTTAATTCAAGTAGTAAACATAAATTTTAGTCAAACAATACTTTTGAAAATTTTAATAAAAAAAATTAGATTCAGTAGTAACCGTCATTTTTGGTAAGACAACTAAGTGTGGAATTTCTGTTTTGTTAATACTAGTGGTAAAAATAATTTTCAGTCAGACATTGTCTTTGTTAAATTCTACAATAAATTTTTATTACTAGTAGGAGTTATTTTTTTCAGAATTTTAATTTTTAATACCTTTCTAGAATTTTAGTTAAAATTAGTGTAACATTAGCAAAAATAATGTTTAGTCAGACAAAAACTTGATTTTCGGTTAATTCATCTATTAGTAGTAAAAGATTTTTTAGTCAGACATTTCTTGAATAAAATTTGCATTGAAGGTAAATTAGTAGCAAAAATAATGTTTAGTCAGACAAAAGCTTGATTTTTGGTTAATTCATCTATTAGTAGTAAAAGCGTTTTTAGTCAGACAATTCTTGAACAAAATTTGCATTGAAGGTAAATTAGTAGCGTAAATGTTTTTTTACGCAGAGAAAACATTTTTTTTTTGGAATAAATTTTTTTAATTTTCTGCAGTAGTATAAATCCTGATTAGACAGACAATACTTTCTGGGAATTTACAGTTAGAATTAATCGCAGTAGTAAAAGTAAATCTTGGTCAGACAATGCTTTCTCGAATTCATTTCAATTGATATCAGTAGTAAAAGTCAATATTCGTCAGACTGAATAAATATTTCCCTTGATTCACTTTAGGTTATTTTTAATCATTAGAAATGTCGATTTTTATTTAGAAAAAATGTTCCTCTAACTCAAGTTTAATTGTTACCGCGCAGTATTTAAAATAATTTAAAGCCAGATAATGAAATTACTATAGTAAATAAAATAAGAATAAAAAAAAAAATTGATAATATTGAATAATAAACAATAAATGAATGTAAATATCAAATAAATAAAAATTAATAGAAATAATAAGTAGATAAATAGAAATAAATAGAAATAATAAATATATAAATAGAAATAATAAGTAAATGAATAGTAATGAAAAATAAATAAATAAATAAATAAATAGAAATAATAAATAAATAAATAAATAAATAGAAATAATAAAAAATAAAAAAAATAAATTTTAATATAAATAAATAAGTAAAGTAATAAACAATAAATAATGAGAAACCATAAAATTTAATTTTCCATATTCACATATATATAAAATGCAATAAAAACAAGAAAACATGACACGCAAAAAAAATTCTTTTCCATATAGAATAAAGAATTTACCGGTTACTCGCGGGTGTTCAATTATTGATCTACATTCACACGGTACACTTGACGTGATAAATGTAATTGTAATTGACATGATTGCTACATGTTGTATATATAGACAAACATAACGTGTTATGTTAAGAAAAGTTTCACACTGGAAAATAAACAGCGTGCACGATTGGGACAAGGTTTCATGGGATGTTGTCTCAGAGTTGGTGAGAGGCGAGATGAAATCTGTCTTTAATGGTTTTCAAACACTCGTGTAGAACTTGCAGTTCAAAAGCGATAACGAGCGACGTCATGTCCAATATTGCAATTTTTCTCTTTCCCCATTTTTTTCTCGAAATTTCCAAAAGTTCAAACTTCAACTACTTCGCAGATGTATATATTTAAAATTACTTTGCCTTTAATTTTATTTCTTTTCATATTTCTATTATTTATTTATTTTAATTTAATTTCAAATTTCAATCTCGATTTCAATTCAATTATTTAAATTTTCTTATGCAACGGTTTATATATTTATAATATTGTTATTCTTATTATATTGCAAAATTTAAATTGTCTATTTTAAAAAATCACAATTATTGAATGTTAATTATTAATAAATTTTTTGAAACCAAATAATAAAAATAATAAAATAAAAGATCTCAAAATATCGATTGGGCTAATGGCGTTAGCCATTAGGACAATCAATATTTTGAGATCTTTTATTTTATTATTTTTATTGAATATATTGTAATATAAATTACACTAAAATTTAAAATTTCGAAAAAAAATAAAATAAATAGAAATAAAAATAAATTTTCGTGCAAATTTTTGAGAATAATTGGATTTTTTTAGAAATATTTTATTACAATTTTTAAAAATTTGTTGAACCCGTTCGGGAAAATTATTTAAATTTCAGTAAAATTATATTGAAAATAATTAAATTCCTGAGTAGAATTTTTATTATTCAAATTACTTTTTCATTCTTCAGAAGAATTTTACAATTTATAAAAATAATTCAAATGTTTCAAAGAATTTTTTCAAAATTTTAAGATATAATTTAATTCTTTCGAAAAAATTTTTGTTTCCGAAAAAAAAATGTTATTTTGGTTTTTGCCCAAATAAAAAAGACAATTAAAAAAAAAGTTTTATTTAAAATTGAATAATAAAAAAATAGGTCGTCTAATAGTTTCACTATTTTGTAAAAACCTATATAAATTCATGAGTGCTTTCTCACAAGAAAGTGGTATATTTAAATTCAATGTAGTTAGTCTGAAAACTGGTTCTAATATAAATTTCATGACATTTTCCTAAAGGCGTCAAAATTGGGACATTCTATCTTGACGTTAATTCTTTTTCACTTGTATAAATAAAATTTGAGACTAAATTGAAAATTAATAAACAAATGAATTTTCTATTCTTAGAAAAGAAATAAGAGAAATTTAATTTTTTCGATTTTGAATCTTAATGAATAAAAAGAAAACTTCTTTTTTTTAATTTTGTATTTTTCTTCCTTTTCTAAATTTTGCATTTTCCTTCTTTTTTTTCAATTCTGTATTATTCTTTCTTTTTTTTAATTTTTTAGAATTTTCTTTCTCTTTTTTGGTTTAATATTTGAATGCTGATGGAATAAAATAGTAATGGAGGGAAAATTTATTTTAATTGCAGAAAATTAATGGAAACGGGCTCTTCAGTTCCATGGCAGAAGACTTTGGAAGACGCTACAGGACATGTACGATTGGATGGCGAGGCAGTGAGGGAATATTTCAGACCACTCGAAGAATGGCTTAGATCCGAAAATTTAAGAACTGGAGAACTCGTTGGATGGACTTATGGTAAGTAGTTCATGATTTATACATTTTATATACTTCATTCTCATTAAAAATTCACTTTTCTTTTTTCTTTGTAAACATTTTCTCTCAATAGTAACTTTCGGTCGGTAATTTTCCCCTCGAACTGCCTAAAATTTAATTAAATTAATTTAAAAATATGAAATTAATTTAAATTTTTCCTGGAATAATGATAATGATAATTTTTCTTTATCTCAATTTTTATTTTTTTTTTAAATTTAATTAAATTTTTTTTATTGAATTTAATTTTTATTAGTCTTTTTAATTAAGTAATTAAAATTATAATTCAACAACTTATACGAATATTATTACAAAACATGAAGATATCAATCACTTCGAGTCCTCGACTCGGAGTAATTGATATCTTCATGTTTTATAAAAATTTAAATTTCCATAAAATTTTTCAAAAAAAAAAAATTAAACTATTTACAAAAATTATAATAAAATTCGTTGCAAGAATTCAATTATTTTCATAAATAATAAAATTTTTCATAGGATTTCAATTATTTTGAATACAATTTAAAGTAAATTCCTAGAAAAATGGAATTATTTTCTTAAATTTTTTGCAAGAATTTAATTACATTTCACGAATATAATGAAATCCTTCGTTGAAATTCAAATATTTTCAAAATCTACTATTTTAATAGAAGTTCTCAAAAGAATTCAGTTATTTAATAAAATGTAATAAAATTCGTTGCCGGAATTCAATTATTTTCATAAAAAATAAAATTCTTTACATTATTTCAATTATTTAAAAAAAAAATTGAAAAAATTCATTGCAAGAATTAATTCATAAATTAATTTCATAATTAATATCATAAATTAAATGATTGAATATAATGATTCATAATTAATCATAAATTAATAAAATTCTTCACAAGATTTCAATTATTTTTATCACAATTTTAAGTAAATTCTTCGAAAAATGTAATTATTTTCAAAAATTTTATTAAAATTCTTCGAAAGAATTCAATTATCAATTATTTTTAAAAATTCATGCTATAATGCTTTTCATATTCAATTATTATCAAAAATTTTAACTGACATTCATTTTTAAATCAATTTTTATTGGAAAATTTTACGAGAATTCAATTATTTAAATACTAATATAAATAATTTATTGAAAAAAGGAATGTTTCTCGAAATTTAATTTAAAGAATTTTATCAACAAAATAGAAATTTTTTTGAGGAATTTTAATAAAATTTTCAATAATAATTAAATTTTTCGAGAAATTCAATTAAAATTGTATTAAAAATATTTTAAATTTTATAATAAGTTCTATTATTTTCTATTATTTTCACGAAAATAATTGAATTTCTGTAAAAAAAATACTATTTATGACAATAACTGAATTATTGCGAAGAAATTTATAAAAAAATTTGTAAATATAGTTGAATTCCTGTAAAATTTTTATTATTTATAAAAATAATTGAATGTTCACGTGGAATTTTATGAAAATTTTGTTTAAATAATTAAATTTTTTTTTGGAAAATATTATGAAAATAGTAGATATTGAAAATAATTGAATTGAGGAAAATTTTTTGAAAATAATTGAAATTTTGCAAAGAATTTTAATAAAATTTTTTTAATTTTTTTTTTGTTCATTACTTTTGAAAATAATTGAATTTCTGCAATCATTTGTAACCTCTCCAAAATTTTTTCCAGTACTTTAATAAAAATATCTGACTTTTCCCTAAATTCCCTGATTTCTCCGACTTGCGGCAACCCTGTAATAAGTCCTGATTAGTTCTAGTTAGTTATAAATTAGTTTTAATTAGTCCTGATTATTTCTAATTAATTCTAAAATAATCCTGATTAGTTCTAGTTAGTTCTAAATTATTATTAATTAGTCCTGATTAGTTCTAGTTAGTTATAAATTAACTTTAATTAGTCCTGATTAGTTATAGTTAGTTATTAATTAATTTTAATTAGTCCTGATTAGTTCTAGTTAGTTATAAATTAGTTTTAATTAGTCCTGATTTTTTTCTAATTAGTTCTAAAATAGTCCTGATTAGTTCTACTTAGTCCTGATTAGTTCTAGTTAGTTCTAAATTATTATTAATTAGTCCTGATTAGTTCTAGTTAGTTATAAATTAACTTTAATTAGTCTTGATTAGTTCTAGTTAGTTCTAAATTATTATTAATTAGTCCTGATTAGTTCTAGTTAGTTATAAATTAACTTTAATTAGTCCTGATTAGTTCTAGTTAGTTATAAATTAACTTTAATTAGTCTTGATTAGTTCTAGTTAGTTCTAAATTATTATTAATTAGTCCTGATTAGTTCTAGTTAGTTATAAATTAACTTTAATTAGTCCTGATTAGTTATAGTTAGTTATTAATTAATTTTAATTAGTCCTGATTAGTTCTAGTTAGTTATAAATTAGTTTTAATTAGTCCTGATTATTTCTAATTAGTTCTAAAATAGTCCTGATTAGTTCTACTTAGTCCTGATTAGTTCTAGTTAGTTCTAAATTATTTTTAATTAGTCCTGATTAGTTCTAATTAGTCATAAAATAGTTTTGATTATTTCTAATTAGTCCTGAATTAGTCTAAAATAAAACTAATTAAAATTAATTAATTAATTAATTAATTAATTAAATATTAATAAATTTTAATTTTTTGCAAATTTATTTTTTTTAATTTCAAAGAAAAATTATTAAAAATTAGATTCGAATTTGATGGAATGGTTATGACAAGAAAAAATGTTTTCCCGATAAAAAAAAAATTTCTTTTGTTTTTTTATTTCGTATATTTTATAAAAATTATAGATTCACAAATTGTGTTACAATGAAGTAAAACCGATTGGCGCTTCATTTGAGCAAAAAAAAAAAAAATAAATAAATAACAGTCATATTATTATTTTCACGGGAAGATTATACCTTCACGTTATCCGACCCGTGGGATTCTGGAATTACGAAATAGGTATTTGTGTGCGAGAGACAGAAACGCAAGACGAATTAGAACAAGAGAAAAAGAATGAGAGATAAAAGCGAAACTTTAGCTCGTCTCGTTTTCTCAATTTTTTTTCCCTCCTAGTTACACGTAGTTAGATTGCTCTTTCTCTCTTTTTTTTCTTAAAACGTATATTTCTCTCTCTTTCTCTCTCTTTTTTCTTAAAACGTATTTCTCTTCATTTCTCGCTCACTCTCTCTCTTTATATATTATTTCTCTCTCTCTCTTTTCTCTCCATATATTTATGTATATATACACACGTTTAAATGCACACTCGTCCATCTTGATTCACTAACAGCGACAATTAATGCAACGCGTATCTCCGCGAAGCCTTTCTAATTATCGTACGATCTGCACTTCTCAGACGTTTAACGATCCAAGAGAGTCATTTATTCAACTTCTCGTTACATCGCGATTTGTATAATGCCATGTTTTTATATAGGATCAATTTTGATTCTTCCTTTCTTTTCTTTTTTTTTCTAGAATCTAATCAATATCGAAAATCGATCTTATTTAGATTTGAAATTGAAATTTAATTAAAAAAAAATATTAGGGAATTATAAGACAAGATTAGAGTATAAAAAACACTATATTGGAGTATAATAATAATAATAATAATGATAATAATAAAAATAATAATAATAATAATAATAATAATAATAATAATAATAAAAATAATAATAATCGTATAGAAAACAAAAAGTGATTAGGTACAATAATTACGATGCAGTAGGGAAAGGAAATTAAAATATTTATACCTAATTGAACGCCTTGATGCAAGAATCATAATGCGGATTGAAATTCAATCGTCTATGTCTGCTTCTTGCAGCACGCTGTTCAATTACAACTAATTGAAAATTAATGATAAAAAAATATATTTACAATAGTATTACTTAAAACCTTAAAAGTATTATATGCAATTATTGAAATTTTCATTATTCAATATTGTTTAACAATTCTAATATTTAAATAGTAATTAATAAATAATAATAGTTGTTGAAATATTCGCAAAAATGTACTTTCTGGAAAGAAAAAATACTGGAAATTGTTTGCTAAAAATGATGCAAAACTTTTCTTAAATATTTCATAGAATAGTTACTAGAATATTTGATAAACTAGTTACTAAAATATTTTACAAATTATGCGCTACAATTTTGCTAACAAACTCGAAAATATTTAATAAAATAGTTGCTTAAATATTTGCTAAAAAAATTAAATAATAAGTTGAACTCTTTGCTACAATATTTAATAAATAGTTTTTTATATTTTTAGTAAACTATAGTTGCTGAAATATTTTACAAATTATGCGCTACAATTTTGCTAACATACTCGAAAATATTTAATAAAATAGTTGCTAAAATATTTGCTAAAAAAATTAAATAATAAGTTGAACTCTTTGCTACAATATTTAATAAATAGTTTTTTATATTTTTAGTAAACTATATAGTTGCTGAAATATTTTACAAATTATTTGCTAAACTTTTGTGAACTCACCCTAAGCCTAAAATATTTAATGAAATAGTTGCTAAAATATTCGAAAGAATAGTTAGCAAAACATTTGAAGTATTTGCTAAAATATTTATAAAAATAGTTGATAAAATAGGTGCTAAAATATTCTATACTTTTCTTAGAATATTTATTAAAATACTTGCTAAAATATTCGATAAAATAATTGATGTCTTTGCTACAATATTTAATAAGTAGTTACAAAAATATTTATTAAAGTAGATGCTGAAATACTTTACAAATTATGTGCTAAAATTGTAATAATTTTCCCTAAATTATTAAATAAAATAGATGCTAAAATATTTCATAAAGTAATTGCTCAAATATTTGTCAGAATAGTTGATAAAATAGTTGAAGTATTTACCAAAATATTTAATAAAGTAGTTGGTAAAATAGTTGATAAATTATTTGTTAAAATGTTTGACAAAACATTTTATAAAATACTTGCTATAGGTACTATTTTAGAATTAATTGTAAATATAGGTACTGCAAACTATTCTTTAATTATTATTTAACAAAAAGTTGCGAAAAAAATTGATAAAGTATTTACTAAAATAATTTACAAATTATTTGCTAAAATTTTGCTAACTTTCCTTAAAATATTTAATAAAATAGTTGCTAAAATATGTTATGAAGTAATTGTTAAAATATTTGAAAGAATATAGTTAGCAAAATAATTGAAGCATTTGCTAAAATATTTATAATAATTGTTGATAAAATAGGTGCTAAAGTATTACATACTTTTCTTAAAATATTAAATAAAAAAGTTGCTAAAAAATGATAAAGTAGTTTTTACAATATTTTTCAAATTTGCTTTTTAAAATTAATAATAAAAATTGTCATTTAAACTTAGTATTGAAAATTTTCTTTTAAATTAATTAATAATTCAATTGCTATTTAAAGTTGTTATTGGATATTGTTATTTCTAAATTATTAAATTTAAATAATATAAATAAAAAAATAATAAAAATTAATGTTTTTTTCTTTTTTTCGAATTAATATTTTTTTTTATTTTTACTAAAGTGATGTGAAAATATAACAGTTTCACAATAAATATTACATATTCCAAACAGGGGAGGGGGATGTAAAAAAAAGTTGAATTTTGTAAAAATAAATTGTAGTAAAAAAAATTTAATAAAAAATTGTAATAAAAAAAATTTAGTAAAAAATTGTAATAAAAAAAATTTAGTAAAAGAATTGTAACCCAAAAAAAACTATCAGGTAATTATTTATTAAAAAATGGATATATAACATGAATAAAAATTAATAATAAAATTAGATTACACGCTTCCTAGAAATGAATGAATACAAAAGAGAGAGGGGAGAAAAAAAAATTTGCAAATTGATAGTTGGATCGTTACAAGAGAGAGTGAGAGTCGTATGAGAAAGAAAACTACATAATACACACAGAAATTGTGCAACCAGAACATTTTAACAAAGTGAAGCGTAAAAGAAGTTTGGCGTAAAAACAATCTAAATAAGATCCATATGTCTGTTGCGTAAAATAAAATAAAAGAGAGGACTTTTAATCGAGTAACCAGATTTATTGTTCGTTGCGGGATCTCGTTTCTTACGTGTACATTTATATATATATATATATATATATATATATATATGTATATAGAGACTTCATAGCATCGTATAGACTAGATCATTTAATTACTTCGAAGCACTTACAGGTAATTGCGTCTCTACTTTATACGTCTCTCCTTTCTCCTCAATTGTAAATCGGTGCACCATTTGAAATTTATGCGTTGCTTCTGTTCTAAATGCTCGTATCAACAAATTTCTTTTACATCTTTCGATAATTTTTTTTTACACCTTTCCATCATTTTTTAAAAAATATATTTGCTACAATATTTGATAAACTCATTGCTAAAATATTTGCTAAAATATTTTTAAAAATATTGTAAGTATTTGCTACAATATTTAATAAATAGTTGCTAAAATATTTAATAAAATAGTTGCTAAAATATTCCACAAAGTAGTTGCTAAATTATTTGAAAGAATAATTAGCAAAAAAATTGAAGTATTTGCTAAAATATTAAGAACAATAGTTGACAAAAAGTTAAAAAAAATATTGTATACTTTTCTTAAAATATTTATTAAAATAATTGCTAAAATATTCAGTTAAGTAGTTAAAATCTTTACTACAATATTTCATAATTAGTTGCTAAAATATTTAATAAAGTAGTTACTAAAATTTTGCTTACTTTCCCTAAAGTATTTAATAAAATAGTTGCTAAAATATGTCATAAAGTAGTAGCTAAAATATTTGACAGAATAGTTGATAAAATAATTAAAGTATTTGACAAAATATTTAATAAAATAGTTGATGTAATAGTTGCTATAATATTTGCTAAAATGTTTGTAAAAATATATGCTAAAATATTTGAAATAATAATTGGAAGTATTTGGTACAATATTTAATAGATAGTTTCTAAAATATTTAATTAAAATAGTTGCTAAAATATTTGCTTTAATAAAATACTTGCTAAAATGTTTGTCAAAATGTTTAATAAAATACTTGCTAAAATATTATACAATTATTTGTAAATATACTGCAAATTTTTCTTTAATTATTTAATAAAAAAGTTGCTAAAAAATTGATAAAGTAGTTAATAAAATATTTTACAAATTATGTGCTAAAATTTTGTTAACTTTGCCTAAAATATTTAATAAAATAGTTGCTAAAATATGTTATAAAGTAATTGCTAAAATATTTATCAAAATAGTTGATAAAATAGTTAAAGTATTTGCCAAAAATATTTTTAAAAAATAGTCGATAAGCTTGGTGCTTAAATATTTGCTAAAGTGTTTGCTAAAATATTCGATAAAATATTTGAAGTTTTTATTTGAAGTTTTTGCTACAATATTTAATAAACTAGCTCCTAAATTATTTTACAAATTATTGCCTAAAATATTGCAAACTTTCGTTAAAATATTCAATAATACAGTTGCTGAAATATTTTATGAATTAGTTCCTAAAACATTTGATAAAATAGAAAAAAAATAGTTGAAGAATAGGCTAAAATATTTTACAATGTAGCTGCTAAAATATTTTCTTAAAAAATACTGAAAGTATTCACAAAAAAAAAATTTGAAGTATTTGCTAAAATATTTAATAAAATAGATTTTTGAAAAATATTTTTAATATCCATTTTGCCAATAAAATAGATTTTTGCAAAATATTTTATAAAAATCCATTTGGCCAATAAAATAGATTTTTGCAAAATATTTTATAAAATCCATTTTGCCAATAAAATAATTTTTTTTTTTAGAAAAAAGAAAACAAAAACCTTTTTAGAAAAAAGAAATCAGAATTTTTTTTTTATCTAAACGTGAAAAATGAAACAAGTAGAATTTTTTTCAAAACACAATAAAAACCATTTCTCTCGCTTTTGGCCCAATTCCAAATTGAATTTTGCAGTGGGAGAAAAAAAATCTGTCTCTTCTCTTTTTGCAATATAATAGCCTCCCGTCAACAAACGTGAACAGCAAATAGAAAGTAGATTTTGCAATCGTGCGGAAATTCATATTAAGTACAGGCATCTATATAGTGTATATCAATTTCTGAACACAGGTGTAATTTATGTTATAGACGGTGACTACTGCAAGCTCAGCATAGAAACTGCAGGTCTCGAGGTATCAGGTAGTGGCTATTATTTCGGCTCCGCAACTTCCATCAGAAGTGAAAATATTCTAACCACCTTGTTATTCAGTATCCTCATTGCATCACGACTGCTCTAAAGGGAATATAACAACAACAAAAAATAAAAAAAATCAAAGCCAAAAATACAAAAAAAAAAAAAAAAATGGGGAAAAAGATGACAAATCCCGTTTACTTTGAAATAAATATGAAACAGTACAAAAAAAACAAAGAAAAATAACAAAAAGTTAACGGCTAGTCCCGTTTACTTTGAAATAAATAAATACAAAAAAAAATATTAAACAAAAAAGATTAAGAACAAAAATTTATTTACTTTGAAATAAATAAATAAAGAAATAACAAAGAAAAAATAAAAGATTAAGAAAAATCAAAGAAAATGAACAAAAGAACAATTAAAAAAGTAAAAAAAATCAAAGAAAAAAAACAGAAGAAAAAATTGTTCCTAAACTTTTGAACGTTCAATGAAAGGGAAATTTATTTCTGCTATGCTACTATGTTCCCATATAATTAAAAATGAACCATAATTTAGAAAAAAATAATAAATAAAGAAATAATAAATAATAAATAAATAATAATTAAATATTTAATCAGATTTAATTAATTAACTATCAAAAATAAAATGAATTGCAAATAAATTATTTCCTTAAATAAACAAAAAAATATGTTCGAAATAAAATAAAACATATTTGACTGTATATAGCAAGAAAGTATAAAAAATTTTAATTGATTGATTTTGATTCAGCCAAAAAAAGTTTGATTCAAATAAAGTTTTCCCAATCCAAAATTTAATTTACAAATTTTTTCTGGAAGTCAATAATTGTCAAAAAAAAAAAAATGATATAGAAAATTATCAATTATATTACTATCATTGTTCTACTATAAATATTACTGTGACTATAATTTTCGAAACTGAAAAAATATTCCCCTCATTTGAACGTTTAGAATTTTCCACACTGAAAAAAAATTTATTTAATTCAAATAATCGATTAATTGATATTTAATTGATATTTAAATATTATCAATTAAATATTTATTTGAATCAAATAATATTTATTGAAGTCAATTAAATGGTATTTGAACCATTAATTTCAGTATTTGAAGCAAATATGAACTAAACCATTTAATTGACTCCAATAAATATTATTTGATTCAAGATAATATTTAATTATTGATAATAGTCAATTAATTGGTTATTTGAATCAAATAAATTTTTTTTTCAGTGCAGAACATTTTTGGAGAAAAAAAATTTTCACGAACAGCAAATATAATATAGAGATGATTCAAAAGATGAATCAATAAAAGTCTAAAACAAAAAGAAGAAAAAATTAAGAAAAACAATAATTGAACATTTGGGCCATATGTATAATGGGTAGGGTCGGAATGCGGAACATGTATGTTGTACAAATCGTGACATTAATTCTGTCGCAAGCTACCTATGTACTGGGTGAACGTGTCATTACTCCTTCCTGGAAAGACAATTCTTGTGCCTTTATTCACAATTTTTTTTTTCTTTTCTAACCAAAGAAGAAGAAGAAGAAAAAATGAAAAAACGTAAAGAAATAGTTTTTATATTTGTATAAATATATGAACGTGCGAACAAAATGTACTCACAAAAAATGAGTGTTCTTTAGAGAAGATATAATTTATTAATAATTATAATAACTGTTATTATTTTCGATTAGTCTTTGTATTTGTAGATTAGGGGAGAAGAAAAAAGCTCATTGATGATTAAATATTCACAGTCGGAAAATTATTATCAAGACATCTTTTTTTTTCTATTTTCAAATTTTAAATTCACAAATCGGAAAAGATTAAAATTTTAAATTAAAAAATTGAAGCTACAATAATAAATATAAAATTTATAAATAATAAATTTTTTTCATTTATGTTAATTATTTTTTAATTAATTGAGATAGAAAACCAAACGGAGAAATAGAGAAAAAAGACAATTTTTCACCAATAAAAAAAGAGATGATCTTGACAATAGTGGCTGTTAATTTTATTTTCTCCTGAGATTTTTTTTTTCGTAGAAAATATTTCTGCTCATTTTCATAACTAATTTTCTATAACAAAAAATGTAGAAGAGCGATGTTTAATTCTCATTGGGAATTATTCTATATATATATGGGCAATTCCACGTGAGATTTCAGTCGACCTCTTAAAATCGGCCAAAAATATTTTTTTTCTATTCTGTATTGAAAAAAAACAGATACGTATTTTTTTATTATTTTTTTGGAGGCCAAATTTTTGAGTTATGAATTTTCAAAATTTTCGCTTTTTAAATGTAGGCATATTTTTAATGTCAGATAACTCAAAAAATATTGCTTCTTTTCATTTTTTGACAAGAGAAAAAAAGTTTTGTTTTTCTCTCTATTTTTGAATAATCATAACAACAAATTTTTTTTTCATTTTTTATTAAAAAAATAAAAAAATTTTATAAACAAATTAATTTTTTTTAACTTTGGGTATGATAAATTTTTAATTTTCTTTTTTTAAAACATACCTGGAAATGATAAGAAGGTTTTGCAAAAAGTTTCAGAGTGGGCCTGACAAGTTTGATGGGTCCAAAAAAATAATTAAGCTCTCCGTGCAGGTCGCACGCACGTGGCACAATTTGATTTTTTTACAATTTATTATTAAAAATTGTTTAGAGCCTAAAAATTCAATAATAATCAAAATCCGACAAAATTTGTAGGCTCTAGACAATTTTTAATAATAAATTGTAAAAAAATCCCATTGTGCCACGTGCGTGCGACCTGCATGGACAGCTTAATTATTTTTTTGGACCCATCAAACTTGTCAGGCCCACTCTGAAACTTTTTGCAAAACCTTCTTATCATTTCCAGGTATGTTTTAAAAAAAGAAAATTAAAAATTTATCATACCCAAAGTTAAAAAAAATTAATTTGTTTATAAAATTTTTTTATTTTTTTAATAAAAAATGAAAAAAAAAAATTTGTTGTTATGATTATTCAAAAGTAGAGAGAAAAACAAAACTTTTTTTCTCTTGTCAAAAAATAAAAAGAAGCAATATTTTTTGAGTTATCTGACATTAAAAATATACCTACATTTAAAAAGCGAAAATTTTGAAAATTCATAACTCAAAAATTTGGCCTCCAAAAAAATAATAAAAAAATACGTATCTGTTTTTTTTCAATACAGAATAGAAAAAAAATATTTTCGGCCGATTTTAAGAGGTCGACTGAAATCTCACGTGGAATTGCCCATATATATGTTTTTAAGCCAGTGAATGCATTCTTGAATCAGTAAGTATTTATTTTATCCGCAGGATATATGTAGACTATTTAGCAATGATTTTTTTTTTGCTTGATTTTTGCGAAATCATTAATTTATATATAAAAATAGCAAAAAGCTGATAATGATAATAATTTATCACCGCATTGGTTACTTTTAACTGTAAGCTTTGACGATTTTTTACAATTTGGTTATAAAATGTAAAACAAGTGACAAGTGCTAATTATTTAAGTTAACTATAAGTTTATTATGTTTCTGAGAAATGTCTTATATTATATGAATGACTAGTTAGGTACTTTTAAATAAACGTTTCTTAAAATAGAATTTTTTCTGGTTTTTATTGAGAGAATTATGTAGGTTGACAAATATATTAGAAAAGAGGAGATTTCGTTACATTTAAAATTAAGTCGTTACGTATTTGAGAAACTGATTTTTTCTTTTGATATTTATTCTAATATTGCTAAAATATTTACAAAAAATTTTAAATATTTGGTATAAAGGAAAAATATTTGCCAAAAGGGTAAAATATTTGTTTAAAAGGTGAAGTATTTGCTAAGAAGGTAAAGTATTTACTAAGAAGGTAAAGTATTTGCTATATAAGCGAAGTATTTGCTAAAAAGTTTAAATATTTCAAATTGTTGTTAAAAAAAAATTTGATAATTTTTCTAAAATATTTAATAAACTAGTTGCAAAAATATTTGCTAAAATATTTGAAAAAATAGTTGAAGTATTTGCTACAATATTTAATAAATAGTTGCTAAAATATTTGAAAGAATAGTTAACAAAATAATTGAAGTGTTTGCTAGAATATTTATAAAAATATTTGGTAAAATAGGTGTTAAAATATTCTATACTTTTCATAAAATATTTATTAGAATATTAAATATTTAGTAAATTCTTCCACAGTTATTTAATAAATTAATTTTTTCGATTTTTGGAAGACGTATATAAAAGGTAAAAGAAAAACACTCTTTTACTTTTTTATAAAATAGACGACGTTTCGGTGGTCAGGTTCGCCACCATCATCAGGTCACTTTAATAGAAAAAAATTTTTTTTTTAAAAAAATTAATACAACAAAATTTTGAAAATTTAAATTTAAACAAAAAATAAAAAACAATTTTTACCTAGTTAAAATCAATAAATAAACATCACGTCAATAAATTAAAACATAAATAAACGCAATACAACAAAAAAATAAAATATTTAAATTTACAAATCACAAACATATTAAAACGAGTGATTAGTCAAACTGACTGAGCCGGTGACAATTTTCGCGTTATATACAGTCGATGGGGTCAATGACCCGCAATCGAAATATTATGAATTATAACCATTATTTCAATTTATTAAGCAAAGGAAAATAGGAATTACTAAGAAACTGTATATCTTCCTTCTTGTTAATAGTAAAATTATTGCATTTAATATAAATCATCTCAGAAATTAATCGTTTTTTATAAGAAGTTTCATAATCTAAAATTTCTGCATCATCAAAATTAAAAGAATGATTATATTCAGTTTGATGTTTGTTCACAACGGATTCGAGGTTTTTGTTTTTATGCTCGCTAATTCTTTTTTTCAAAGTACGCTTTGATTCACCAATATATGTTGCAGGGCAACTATTACAATTAAATTTATAAACAATATTATTCCGATCCCACTTTTTTGTCAAGTCCTTTCCTAATTTTATTACAGAGCTTAAGCTTTTTTCCACAATAGGAATAGAAAGTAAATTATATTTTTTTAAAATATTAGATAATTGATAATAAATATCATTGAAAGGAATACAGATTTTAGGTAGTTGTTGATAAATACTAACGACATTGTTAGTTTGTTTTTTATCTATTGTTTTATGAATTAATGTATGTTTTCGTTTTTTAATATTTTTTTGTATAAATTCTAAAGGGTAATCGTTGTTTTGCAAAATTTTAAAGATTCGTTTAATGTTTTCATTATGAAAGGACTTGTGAGACAATAAAATTGCTCTATCATATAAATTGTAAACAATGTTTTTCTTTTGTTGAATTGGATGACGTGAAAAA